ATATCAGCCTATATATCGATGGGTTATAATCAAAGGATCCTATTCTGGAAAGTAGTAATGCAACAATTGAAGGTATAGGGAACTGAAATAGAACCACGCTTCCTTTTATACATGAGAAAGTATCAGAGTCTAGTACTATTTAGCTGAAAGTGAGGTATATCAATGGTTGACAACAGTCTCAAATGCTTAGAAAAGGAACAATTGTACAACCGCATTAAATTTGCCTCTTCAGGCTGGGGGTGTGGTTCAGAAGTAGAGCACTTGCCTAGCATACGCAGTGTCCTAGATTCAGTCCCCAGCACTGCCATCTGTTAGTCAATCTATCAATCAATAGATGGAAAGAAAGAAAAAGTAAGTTAGTTCTTCTTTAGACAAGGAAAAAGAAAATGGGAAAACTCTTGCGTGAAAGATAGGAAAGCTTCTGGGCCTGTCAGCAAGTCTATCACTTCCTTGTTCCATAGGCAGGCGTCTGACAGTTATGAATTATCCTGACACAGCTACGTTCATGGGTCACATCCACACAGAAAAACCAGAATGAACATTAACTCAACAAACGCTATTCTTATAAACAACAGCCCTTATTAAATAAACACCTCAGATGTATGCAGCTCTCCAGACAACAAAATCAATGTGAGACCCATCCTTTCCTTTACAAAGTTTGTCATAAGTGCGAGGTGTGGTGGCACATGTCTGTAATCCCAGAACTCTGAGAGGCTGAGGCAAGAGGATCACAGATTTGAGCCAGTTTGCGCAACTTAGCAAGACCCTGTATCAAAATAAAAATAAGCAAGCACTGGAGATGCAGCTCAGGGAAAAGACCTTGGGTTTAATTCCCAGTGGTGCCAAAAGAAAAGTATTATAATTTTTAAATAAAACTGAACACCAAAGTGTGGCTTTACCTTCTACTTCGCTTATTTAATGATTACCTTTGAAAGAATAATAGTAATACTTAATATTTATGAACCCTTTGTGCCTGCTGTTTTATTATATTAACTCATTTCATGTTTATAAGAACATTAGGAAATAAAAATTATTCTTCTCAGGTTATAGATGAGGAAACTGAGATGCGGGAGGTTAAGTAACTTGACTGTGATTTAACTACAGTCCTAGGATATATCATCTGGAGATCCTAGGCCTGAGGAACCTGTAAGGAATTTGTCTGGGAAACTCTCCCAGCAAAGGTATTTAGTATCTTTCTGAAAATCACAACCTCTTCTCAGGGAAGGGCACAGAAAGTCTTGCCCTGAGGTGCGCTATATGTCGAGAAGAAACAAGCTTTTGGGTCTTGATTCTGTTCTGTCTCCTAAGAACTTGGAAAGATCTCCTAAAGCTCCCAGCACATGCAGGCTGCAAGGTGTCTGGCCTGGGGAAAGTCTCTGGGACCAGCTGTGCAGGTGACGGCTGAGGCCACACGGATCCAGCCCCTGCAGGCTCATTTCAAGACACTTGGGGAGGGAGACAGACCGATGCGGTCTCAAGTTTGGGTCTAGCACCTACTAGCTCTGTGAGCTTGAGCACTTACACAACCTCCCTACCCTACAGATTCTCATGTGTAGAACAGGTATGTCCTAAGGGTTGTGAGGGCTACAGAATAAATATATAACATGATAATTATTCATAAGAGGAAAATTAATAGCCCAGGCCAGTTTCAGAGATCCCCTCCATTTCCACTCCCCCCCCCCGTACCGGGAATCGAACTCATGACCTCCCACTTGCCAGGCAGGCACTGTGCCACTGCGCTAAATCCTCAGCCCCCTGCTTCTCAATAATTAACAATATTATGCTGTTGGGAATTCCTTCAAAGAATTCCCCTATAGCTTCCACATAGAGCTAATTTGCAAAGAGGCTTTGAAAAAACAAAAATTTTTTTTGAGACAGGATCTTGGCTAAGTCCCTAGTTGCCCAGGTTGGGCTCAACCTTGAAACCCTCCTGCCTCGGCTTCCCAGAGTACTGGTATTCTAGGCATGGGCCAACTGGGCTCTGAAATAGTTCTTAAGGGGGAACCTAAAAGCAAGGACCATTTATAGGAGTAGAAACCATTCCACCTGCATAGACCTATTTGATGTGTTCTAGGCATAGTGATGTTATAACTGCCATGCTTAACAGTGCATAAAGCACTAAGCACATTCCTTACCTATTTAACAGCAGCTTAGTATCTGTCTTCCAGTGGTCTATTTATCAGTCCTGAAACTAAGTGAAATAACGTACAAAACAGTAGTTCTCAAGGTTCTGTGTGCCTTGTATCATCAGGAAAACATGCAAATTTCTGGGTCTAGAACTGCAAGTTGGGCCAGGAAATTTGCATTTAATTAGCGCTCTTACCCTTATGCTCAAGTTTGTGTCCTTAGAACATACCTGAAGAAAAGCCACACCAAGGGCTCGCTGACCAGATATAATCCTTGACTCTTTCCGGGGGAGAAACCCCACAACCAATGGCCTACATTCTACAGGAGCAGCAGAGAAATAAGTGCTCCTAAATCATGATGGGCTTCTCCTATGTATATGCTTGAAGTTGACTTTTATTTGATCTGTCCATACCATACTGCATGCTATAAAAACAAGAAAGTTTGCAGGGTGCTCAACTGGACCGGTTTCCCTCACCAACTCTGATCACTGGGCTGTGAGTGATTGACTTTCTAACCAACAAACACTTTGTTCTTTGGGGTGAGTGTGTAGGGGGGCAATAGAAAAGGTGTAGGTAAAAAACAACAACAACAAAAAAAAAACACTGTCCCAAGGGAACTGCAGTAGAGTTCGCCCATCACATACCTGCAGATCCGTATCAGGGTCTAAACAAGGTGTGTCAGGTGGCTTAATTGGAGACTCCAGGACTGTGGGTTTCACAGACTCATGGGTGGGCTGGGGGTCACTTTATTGTCTGGGTTTCAGCAAAATGAGATAAGAGCCGGTCCATCTCAAAACATTTGGGATTTTAAAAGCAGATCACATAATGCTTGAAAAGAAAATAAAGCCCTGTTTTTCAGGACAGCATATCACTGTTGTCTTGGAGCTTAAATATTAAAGAACGCATTGTGTTAATAATTAAAACGAGAATGACTGATTTAGGGCACTCGGTGAACAATTTTATCTGTGCTTCCAGTGTGCGAGAGGAACATACTACCTGATACCTCAGGAGAGATATTAGTAACCATTAATGGGGCTTTCATTTTGTGTTGTTATTTTTAATAAGGAATTGTAAATCTGACTGTGTTGGAAGTTGGAGGTGCATTTTCAGTCATCTCTTTGGGCTGGTGTTATTGCCCTACCCTGTTTAATCGGAGGTTCTTAAGGGAGGTAGGCTCAGAGTGATTTAAAATGGAAGAAGGTACATGTTCGCTACAATTACAATAAAATAATCAGATTGTTTTTAAGTTGAAAGAGAGTGTGGAAGGTATCTGGCCTAATGATTTCCCTGTCTCAGATGAGAAAATGTGAACCCCAGGAAATGGAAGGTCTTGGCTGGTTTCTGCTGCTGGATACACTATTGGGCAAAAGACCCGGGCCAGGCAAAGATGGCGGCACCCTATGGCTCTTCTCTCAGGACTGTCTCTGTGCTCTCCCACATCTTCTACCCATCTAATCTCTGTTCTACACATCACAGGAAGTAGTTCCTGTTTTCTAAATAGCCACGTTATACATAAAGGTAGTTTTATAGATGAGCTCCTTAGACTGATGTCTGTCTGAGTGGAGAAGACCTCAGTGCTTTGTGGAGGCGGCAATGTCCATCTCAGGGAAAGAGATCCAGGAGAGGAAACGGTCAGCTCTCCCTATGTACCTGGAGCTCAGGGTACTGAGCCTCAGGCTTGCTCTGAACCATTAGCTCCAGACTCCAGAAGGAGGCTTGGGTTGACTTCAGGGCTCTAGGCTCCAGGTGGAGTCCCTTCCACCCGGCTGTCCACCCCCTTCCTTGTTTGTAGAACAGAGATAGGGCTGATAGCTCACTCCGGGCTCAGTCAGGAGCAGCATGTGAAATTGGGCCCCATTTGGGAAGGTTCAGAAGCCCCCACATCCCACCTCCCTGCTAATATGATTACAAGTACTTTTGCAGGGATTGGAAAGTGCCAAATCCTCATTTTCCCTCTTCCTTCAAAAACAGACCAAAGGGCATCTTTTTTTCTCCTTTGTGGCTCACTAAGAGGAGGGTGCTTCTTCCTTGGAAGCTCAGCTTGCTGAGGTTAAGAATTCTTAGGTATTCCACGCACAAGTAAACAATCAACAACAACAAAATTAATTGCTGGAGCAGTGCTTCAGAGACCTTCGGAGCCATAAAGACGTTCCTAACAGTGAAGATAAGGCCAGCCTGTCTGCAAGCCATCCGGATCCTCTGAGAGATACAGCCTGGAAGAGGAGGGAGGCCGGCCCTTTCGGGAGTCCTGCGCCCAGTCTTCACCAAGGTATTCCACAAAGAGCGCTTACAAAAGGTTTTGGGAGGAAAGTCCCCTTTTAATAGCCAAAGAAGTATCTCTTTTAGGGACCCAGCTCAGCGCACAGCCTGTTTCCCAACGTTTGGAAATCCTTTAACAGTTTATGGAAGGCCACCCTTTAAACCAATCCAACAGCTCCTTTCTCCATAACCTGATTTTAGAGGTGTTTCATTATCTCTAATTACTCGGGGTAAATGGTGATTACTCAGTGTTTTAATCATCAGTTTGGGCAGCAGTTACTCTAAACTCAGGGAAGCCCAGACTCCCATGGGTATTTTTGGAAGGTACGGTGACTAGTCGGTGCATGCTTTCTAGTACCTCCGCACGTGGTCCCCAGGTGAGCCCCGGCCGCTTCTCCGAGCCAGAGGCAGCGACGTTCCAGCCCCGGCGGCATCGGCGGCCGCGGCGCTGCTCGGGCTTCCGGGACCCGGGCCTGCGAGGCCCGGCCGGGCGGCGAGTAGGAGGATGTGGGCGGGGCTCCCATCCCCAGAAAGGGAGGCGAGCGAGGGAGGAGGGAAAAAGGGAGGGGCTGCCAGGGAAGAGGAGGAGGAAGGAAAGAAAGAAAGAGAGCGAGGGAAAGAGAAGGAAGGAGTACATGTGGGAGGGCAGAGGAGGAAGGTGGGAGGGCAGGAGCGCGGACGGACGCGAGGTGAGTTCTGGACGGGACCCTGCGACGCCGGGCTGAGTGCCTCGCCTCTGACCCCGATAGGATTCCTGTCCGAGCCACCCGAGCCTGCAGCGCCCCATCCCCGGCCCTCGCCCCGTTCCCCGAGCTGTTCAGAGGTCCCCAGGAGCTGCTTTTGGCGAGCCCGCTACTGCGGGGACCCATGGTGAGCGAGGTACCTGGTGCTGGCGAGGGGCGCACTTGGAGGGGGCCGAGGCCCGACTTGGGGAGAAGCTGGGGGCGCCGGGTGCAACCGAGGGAGAAGGTGGCGTGTCCTGCACACCGCAACGGTGTTGCTGGGTGGCGGTGGGGATGCTGCTGCTAGACACCTCCACATCTGCTCCTGCCTGTACCCGGGCTACCTTCTCCATTCCCGCATTGGGAGGTTGGCGGCGGGAGCGGCGGGAAGCAGAGACATCCTCAGTATCGGGGGTCCTTGGGATAGGTGGGGTTTGGGTGGAGTGAGTTGCCCGAGGGCTGGCGACTGCGATTCCCAGACGGCAAGGGCCGGGAGAGAGAGGCGAGAACCAACTGGCTGTGAGCTCCAGAGGGAGGGAGGGCATCGAGGGACCCCGACGAGGGCCGAGGACACCCGCCTTGGGTCTGTGGCGCAGAGCGCTGTCGCGCGGGGGCTGCGTCGCGGGCATCGGCGCTCACCTTGCCCCAGAGAGCTGGCGATCCGCGGCTGCAGGACGCGCACGCTCCACGAGCTGCTTGCCTGGACCCGCTGCCCCCATCATTTCACGATGTGGGGCTGCGGGCGATGTCCGGAACGCTAAGGGCTTCTGCGGTACCGCGTCTCAAGGGGAGGCTCTGTAGGGAAGGAAGCACGGCTCTCCCGGGCCCCCCGCACGAGGAACCCTCAGGAAAGGGCCCCGGACTGTGGGTCCTTGCAGACCCCGTCCCCGCGGGAGCTGGACCCGGGCCTCAGATTCCTCCTGGGCACAGCTTTGGCTGATGGTTTGTGAGTATCGTGGTTTTATGAGCTGAAAGCTTTTGCGAGACATTAAAACCCTAGGAGGCACATACTGGGTAAACTGAGGCTACCTGAAACTTCGGCGTGGGAAGAAGATTCGCGTAGGGAAGCAAAGAGCAACCGCCCTGAATTGTATTCCCGCTCCTGCCTCCCCCGGAAAAAAAAAAAAAAAAGTGTTACAGAGATGAAGTCTTTATCTCTGTAACTTAAAAATCTGGGGAGAAAAAAGTGATTAGTCCTAGTCAATCCGAAATTGAAACACGAACCCGCTTCCCCACCCGCTCGGCGGCAGCGCGGCGAGCGCTCCGGCCGCCACCCGGGCGGCTCCGAGGGGCCAAGGAGGGCGCAGGGTCCCGGGCTCGCGTCTCCTACGGTGCCCTCGCCCGTCTCTGCCTGCTTCCCCACTCCCTGCGCTCTCCCCGTGGAGTTCTCTAAGGGCTCCAATTTTATCAAAATAAAGCAAAGGGCAAAAATGAACCCTTTGCTCTCGCCAGCCCTTTGCTAGTTCGCCCCAGCGCCAGCGTGGGACGGCAGAGAAACCGCTCCAGCGGCGGCGCGGCTGTCGCCGGGCGTGGACGGTCGCGCAGGGGCGCCCTCGGCCTCCGCACCCGGACGCGCGGTATCGGGTGGCGCCGGAGAGAGGGCAGAGCTGCTGCTCTTGTCTTTACGTCTCTTTTTCTAAATGGCTTCTCACAAAGTGCTCCCCAAAGACAGTTTAGGTTTGGAAGGGGAAAGCGTGGCCACCATCCGGTGCTCTCGCTTTCCGATGCAACCCAAGGCGGAAACCGGGGACAGGCTCCCGAAGCGGAGGCCGGGGAAGTAGGCGCTGGGGCGGGAATGGTGGGGCTGTGCCCCTAGGCGACGCAGTGCACACAGCCCGGCTGAACACAGAACTGAGTCAGCTGCGAGATCCGAACCGGCCCTTGCGCTGGGTGTCCCCCGCGCACGGCTTCTCCAGGTCACCCCGGGCATTGCTTGAGCTGTGGGTTGGTAAAATTCTTATAGGACTATTTGCTGCGACTCTGCAGACGGTGCAAAGGAGGAAGGGGGTGGGGAGGAAGTGGCGCGCGCGCGGGCGGGGCGGGGGTGTAGTGGTTTAAAAAATAAGCCAAGCCGGGGAGCTAGAGACGCAGACTAAGGTCGAGTGCAGGCCGAGAGCTGTTCACAGTTTGCTCACTCCTGGGAGCGCGGTGGGATTTCCTTTCTGCGCCGGGTCGGGAGTTGTAAAACCTGGGCGACATTACAAGACCTAAAACATGGGATGCGCCCTTTCTTTGGCGACGCCTCTTTCTGAACTTGTCTGGAGCCCAGAGCCCAGGCGTCTGTCCCTCCGCCTTGAATGCCCCGCCGTTCGGTTTCTTGGGGATCCGCTTTGCTAGGGCGGGGGTGGGGGTAGGGGTGGGAGCGGGGATGGGGGGGTGCCCTGGACCCAGCGGCCGACAGATACCGTGCGGGGATTCCCCCAACTGGAACCAGAAAAATAACCCTAGCAGCCTGGCCCTCTAACTTTCCCACAGCAGTGACACCCTGAATTCCCCTCTTCCCGGCCCGGAGCTCGGTAGGAGGACAGCAACTTTTGCTAAATCGGCTGCCCAGCTGGTTTGAGCGGTCGCAGGCGCCCGCCAGGGGTGAATGCTTATAGCGGGGAGCGCTATTTGGCCTCCTGGAGACGCAGCGCGCGCGCGCGCGTGTGTGTGCCAGTGTGCGCGAGGTCCTCGGGGCTTTTTCCGTTTCAAGTGCCTCTGGGGGTGAAGCTTCGGGCAGCCCAGGCGCGGCGGCCCCGCTCCTGGAGGCGCGTCTGAGCCGCGAAGTGCAGCCCCCACAGCGCGCCCCGGACCCGCCGGCTTCAGGCCGTCGCGCGCGGGTCTGGACGGATGCG